TTAGTTCATTCAACCTTGGCTCAAATCATTTGGGATCGTACCACTTTCAGCAACGAAGAAGAGCAAACGATGAACAATATCCTTCTTTCTGCCTCTTCTGACATTTTTGAAAAATCGAAAGACGAAGCACTTCAGCCCATTCTACAGAAATTCATGGATACATTGAACCAGTTGGAGAAGAGCGGTGCGACATCAAAGTTGTGGGTTCAATACTTCAAGATGGTGACACTTGTGAAACAATTCACTAACGCAGAAAGAATGGGCAATTGGTCATTGCATTTGGAGACCATCCAAAAAATGATACCATTTTTTCACGCCACAGGACATTTATTATACGCGAAATCATGTCACTTATATTTGCAGGACATGTTTCAACTTGGGGGGCAGTTATCTCCAACCGATTATGATAAGTTTGTAAACCAAGGCTTCTTCACAATCAGCCGTTCTGAAAAGTTCTGGGCAGGCATTTGGACAGACATGACCATTGAACAGACAGAAATGAAAGATTCAAAATCAATTGGAGGAATTACTCATGGCCGAGGAATTACGGATAGTGTCTTGGCAAAATGGGTACTCGCCATGCCTACGATCACTGAAGTTACAGACAAGATGAGTCAATTCTGTCACGTTGAATTTGGTACATCAGAACAACATACAGACGGCAGACTTTCACGCATCGAACGCGACGATGAGGACGTAAAAAAATTTTTGGATTGGTTTTTAAGTCACTCACCATTTCCAGAGTCAACAGACATCATGTCGATAAGTACAGGGTTGAAAGGTGATGATCACATTAAGTGCCACAATGCTTTAGACGTGGAACAGTTACTAATGGATGATATGATTGGCCAACATTTTGGAACTATCAAAATGTCTAGGAAGGCACGAGTACAACCCATTTCAAAGATTAATGCATCAATAAAGATAGACAATCAAACAATGTCAATTGAGCCTCTTTTGTTATTCCAGCGAATTTCATTACTTAAGAAATCGGATGAAGAATTACGATGTTACTTTGATTATGAATTAGCACCGTATCCATTATCATTATTTAATGACACTGGAATGAGAAAAACAACAAAGTCAACCCTGTATGAAGCTTTCCAGCCCACGAATATCGAATTGTCCTCTAATTTTATCCATGTTGTGGATGGAGGCTACCTTCTTCATCGCGTAATTTGGCAACAGCAAGAGACATTTGACAACATCATGGACAAGTACGTTGGCTATGTTCAGAAATATTTCCGACCTCACAGCGTGATAGTTTTTGATGGTTATCCTGAACAAGCAGCGATGAAGAGCACGAAGTCTGCTGAAAGACTTCGAAGACAGCAAAAACAAACCTGTGCTGATATGATCTTCAACGAGACCATGCAGCCTACAGTTTCACAGGAGAAATTTCTCAGCAATGAGCACAATAAGAACAGAATCATTGAACTCCTGACTACGATACTTTTTGCTGCAGGTTTTATATGCAAACAGGCCTATGAAGACGCTGATACCTTGATCGTAACGACAGCCTCTGAAATATCGCGTGATTATGACTCTGTGGTGATAGTTGGAGAAGACATCGATCTGTTGGTCTTAATGACAGCTCACTCCCAAGCTGACTCGAATATTTATTTTCTGAAGCCAGGAAAAGGGAAGATTGAACAGAAGTTATACGCTGCAGACTCTTTCAAACACCCTCACCTTCGAGAATACCTGCTGTTCTTACATTCTTTTAGTGGATGTGATACAACGTCAGCATTTTTCAACATGGGAAAAATGAAATTCGTGAAGACCTTGGAGAACAATTATGACGACTTGAGAATAATTTTGTCGCCATTTCTACAACCAGATGCTCCGCCCGATCATTTAGATTTGGCCACACAAAAATTCATCGTCTTATTGTATGGCGGAAAAAAACAAGACATTTACTTGGATGAGTTTAGATTTCAGTGTTTTGAGAAAGCGGCACAGAAAACATCATTGAATCTAGCTTCATTATCTCCTACACACAAAGCTGCTCGGCAACACTCTTTTAGAGTTTACCACCAAATTCAGAGTTGGTTGGGGAATCAATTGCCACCAACTGATTGGGGCTGGACAAACAGCAAGAATGGTTTACTCCCTATTACAACAACCCAGTTACCAGCACCTGAAACGTTGTTGAAACTTATATGCTGCAAATGCACCAAAGGCTGTACAGGAAATTGCAGTTGTCGCAAGGTTGGCCTATATTGTACATCTATCTGCACTGGTTGCCACGGACGTACTTGCAAAAATGTTGAGACGACAATTGACCTGGAGGAAGACGTCGATGAACTTGTCGATATCGATATGGAGAATTTTCTTGCTATCGAATTGGGAGAACAAGCAGATGAAGAAACAGAGCCTACATCTATCACGCCAGAACTAGCTGAGATCATTTCGAGTGATCCAGAAACCAGCAAATCGAAAACAATTGAAAAAAAAATTTTTTTGTTAATTAATAATTAAAAAACGTATAAAATGATATTCTGCCTTCTTTTCAATCATTTCTTCCCTGTTTCAATAAATTAAAACCGCAAATTTGTATGAATAAGTTGAGATTGACTCATTATAGCACGTTTTGACCACTCGCGAGATGTGACATTTAGATTCAAGGGCTATATCTCTTAAATTATGGGTCGGAGGAGAAAAAGTGTAGTTTGTTGTAAATTTCATAATAAACAATATTGTTAAGAACAATTTTTACGATTGGAGTTATATTTCCGGAGATAATTGCAAAAAACCATAAAAAAACATAAATTTTCACTTTTCATTTGTTTAAACAATTGTTCCGGTCAGAGTTGCTGATTTATTTTTTAACTACTTATTAAGTAGACCCTAAGGAACAGTTTAAAAAGAAAACTAGCTCATTTAGAATTTTTTCCACTAAAAAACCTCTGACGCCTGGACTAATAACAATCTTAGCTTAATTAGTCGATAAATATTTTAAAACGCTTCTCGTGTTCTTGCATCGTCGTATAAATTGTTAAATCACGATATCTCAATGCATGTCTCATAATAATATGAACTACCTATAATTTTAGTCATCAGGAGTTCAGTCCTTCGTTTGTTGTCTATAAAGCCAGCCGGAGGTCGGGTGTTCGAACCTGGGCTGAGGTAAGAATTTTTCATCTGTGACAGAGATGGGAATTTCCTTAGACCAGTTTCGAGCATTCTGCGGGCTACTACCATTTGGGTTTTCCTGCAGTTTTCCTAATTCGTAAGGTAAATACCGGAGTAGTATAGAACAACTTAAGACCTTCTGCAGAGGCACCTCCAAAAAGCATTATGCGGATCACTCTGTAATTGGGCGCAAGTTTGTTGAGGGTCCAGAACAAGAGAGGGATATTAAATAAATAAATAATAAAATAAGTAAGAAGTAGGTAAAATCTACAGAAAACTTGTTTATACATACTCGCTTACTACAAGAGAGGGGGATAATAAATAAATAAATAAATAATAAAATAAGTAACAAGTAGGCAAAATTTAAAGAAAACTTGTTTATACTCCTTACTACAAGTATACTATACCTTCTTACATGTTTCCTGTGCACGTCATCGATAGACCATATTATAGGCATAGAATAATTTCAATTGCTGCATCACGTTTGACGAAGGGATTACCTTCTGGAAAAAATGGCGGACAAAGTCACAAGGTATTACACAGATAGTTCACTAACTACGGAGGGCACTGGCTGTGGAATGTACGGAAGCAATGAACAGGACTGCAGAATCTCTGTAAATGCAGGACAAAAAGAAACCGTGCCCCAAAGTCGATGTATATGCAATCCTGATGGCAGCTGCGCAATTATTAAAAGAGAACCTTACCAAAAGGAAAATCTTTATAGTTGCAGACAGCAAAACAGCGATTGTAGTTCTTGAATGCACACAAATGTTAAACGCACTAGCATAGATGTACTCGTAACACCGTCGCACTAGTGTGGGCACCTGGGCACGCGGGAATCGCAAGTTTTTTCTCAATGCAATACCTTCCTTACAAACGTACGGATCCTTTAAGACCAATTAATCAAAGATTTACGTTAAATTTGATAAAAATGTACATTAGAGGCGGTTATACCTTCCGGGGACACTACAGAACAAAGAACGGAATGAAAGCAAACTGCGTAAAATGAAGTAGACATTCCTCGCTCTACAATCATTAAACTGACTAGTACACGTTTCAATATGAACAATATTTGTTTGGAAGATAATGTCAGCTATGATGAACTTTCTACAATCAGAAAAAATTTTCCACTTAACGTATTTTTTCGAAAAACTTGTAATACAAAATAAAGGCTACCGTCATACCGTCTGGATTTTTTGTTTAAGTATTACAGCGTTCATTGCAAAAACCTCAAGTTGTATAATCCACATTCGTACGGCAGTTAGCATCGCTTAATACTTAGATTATTATAAAAACGGCGTTTTTCCCAATTTGTTCAAGCGTAACTTTTTGAAAAGAATCCGGCAGTCTGTTTGCAACTGTGCACAAAGAAACTTCTAAACTTGGCTTGTATGCACACTAACGCAAATTTGGTAAGTAAGGTAATTAGAGGTTACGGATAGAGCATAGTAAATGAGGCGATGTTCTTACATGATTTGTAGACTTTTGCAGCGTAACAGAATGTTTTCACGGAATTAAAAAGTGGGCTTTTTTCTTATACTTATTCCTTTAATTTGATTTAATTTCAGTTCAGACTACGATTGTGTTACTTACATTACGATTTAAAAGGAGATTTTTTGTGATTATGACACGAGATCGAAACTTCTCGTCCCTTTATGTGTTTCTATACTGCTTTAATATTAACAACAAGCTCGTTAAGGACTCTAGTTATAGCAGATGTTGCAAACGGGGTACGAAGTTACTGAAGTAACTTCAAATTTTATGCGCATTATTCAATACACGATGTAATTAGCAGATTTTGATGATCACATCCGCACAGTTAACCTAATAAGATTATTCTAGTAATTTTGTGCTGTATTGTTATAGTGGATCTTTTTTTTCAGGTGGCATGGTTGCGAGTTGACACACAAACAATACTAACTATTCACAGCCACGTAATTACGAAAAACCATCGAATTGGAGTCACACACAGCGAGCATCGCACGTGGTATTTGCACATTAGAGAGGTCAGGGAATCAGACCGGGGATGGTACATGTGTCAAATAAATACCGATCCCATGAAAAGCCAAGTTGGATACTTAGATATTGTAGGTGAGTAACGGAACCATTTTAACTAACATAATCGAGTAAAGTAGGTTAGAATAGGATTCAAAATCGATGTAATTACTATCTTCTCGAACGCTTCCTAGAATTTCTCTAAAATGGGGCTTAATTTTGTTAAGCTTCCACCTACAGTAGAACTCCTGCGAACTTAATCCGGTAAGAACAAAGTTTTCCTTTAGATATTTCTGTGGGAAAAAATTAAGGGTTATTTCAGAGGGTGTAGGTATCTCACTGACCCACTTAAACAATGCTGTACTTACTACGTTCAAGAATGTACAAGATTGTTTCACCCTAATTTCTTGGTTCAAGTTTAAGGTGATCTAAAGCAAATTGTATACAAATCCATGTTAGAGTAGGCTGGTTTGCCGCGAGGGGCTCTAGAGACACGTAATGAATAGCAAGTGCTCGCAGTCTTGGGGCTTGGATTGTTTCGTTCACGCTCTTAGCCTACCTTCTATTTGGATATGTTGCAGGATTCACTCAACAACCATATATACTGGAAGAGTTCCCGAGCGACTTGTAATTCTATAGAATAATCCTTCCTACAATCTCTCTTCTAACATAACATTTTTCGGTTTTCCTTTACGTCCAATTCGTAACACCAAATGATGAAAATTTTCGTTTTCCTAAATTGCTTTCTTCTATAAGCTGTCTCAATCTCACCTCTAACATTTTCATATTATTGCTTCATTTCGCAACATTTTGTATTTATGAATAAAAAAAACACTTTCATTGGAAAGATAAATTTATCTTTAACGTTCAAGTATATACGTCCCTCGCGTTTTAAGTTTTCCAACTCTTCTAACATGTCTGTTGCGTAATAAATCATGAAAAGTTCGCATGGTATCATTACAGTGAGATGTTATTAAAAATGCTTTACGGATGTGATTTAATAAATTTCAATTTCATGTTTCGGAAGGTTAGCAACATTTTTAGGCATATTTCGGGTGCCCGGGCTTGATTTTCGTGGTTAATGAAATTTTGCGGCTAAATATTTTCGCATAACTGCCGAGTGAAATGTCAAACACGTGATTTGTAGGAACATTTATATTCCGCTATGTGGTGGCGATCTTGTAGCATTTGTAAGTAAAACTATTAGCTTACATTACAAGAGATTACCTAATTAGTAAAATGGAAGGTTTTGCAGCGCAGCCAGCAGCGCTATAGAAATACAATTAGAAAATGTTGTGGCTTGATTATTTCTTTACAAATGAAAATTATATTGCTACAATACGTTTTGAGAAAACGGAAATCATACAGCACATGGAAAAAGTGTATCAGGAACGATCAAAACTATTGACGAATTTAAGGACGTTATTACAACAACATAATAAAATAGTAGAGAACTTTGCGGACTAAAGTAAAAAAATTGGTATGGCCAGCACAGATACTATCCGCACACTGCACTGATTCTACCCAAAAGCTCCGAATATGTGTACCAAATTTGGTTCCAATCGGTTCAGTGGTTTAACCGGAATAGAGAGTTTGACAATCTTGCGCCGGCCGGCGCAATTTTCCCAAAAGCTTTTCCCTTTATGTCTGGGAATATGTGTAAACCTTTCGCCAGGAAAGATTGCCGGTCACAAAACACCTGATCCCGATCTACAATCTATGTTTTTCTTAATATGCGAGCGATTTCCGGGATCCTATTCCGGAAGTCGCTGGCATTTTAAGAAAAACACAGATTGTAAATCGACATAAGGTGTGCTGTGACCGGCAATCTTTCCTGGCCCAGGACTGGACTGGTGCAAATTTTTGATTTGATTTTTGAAGAAGAGCAGCACACTAAGAATGTATCCCAAATTTTTGCAATAGGAAACTGAACTCAGACTGACCTCAAAGTCGACAAATTTGCAAATATAACGTGACAGACCCTGGAAATTGGTTTCTAGTCTATAACTTTTGATTGAGAAGTCTAATCGAAAAAGTACGAATTGTTTTGGAATCTACGCCCCAAAATTAATAAGAAAAAGTGTTTTCCCGAGAAATTTTGGTGTAGTCGATTTTTGGAAAAAAGGAAGGTTTTTTTGAGCCCCGAAAAAAAATTTTCTCAGATCGACCGGGGAAAAAAATTTTCTTATAGAATGTGCCCTGTAGAATCCATAATTTCAAACAGTTCGAAGATTGGGCTACTAGTTCAAAAGTTACAACCCTTTGAATTTTCTTTCGAAATTGGCCTGTGACAGACTAATCAAACATAAGAGATGAAAACATAGTTAGTCGTCTGATATACAGTGCGTTTGAGATAAGAGGGTCACCTCAATATCCCTTATTTATTTGGTGAGCGAAAAATGTGTTACATATAATTTTATATGTGACATTACCATCTATCCGATCGCATATTCGAACATTCGGTAGCACTTCCGATTTAACCGGATATCAATGAAACTTTTGTTTTTCAAATGCAATGCCTAAGTTTTTTTAAGATATTTGAAAAGAGTAATCAGTTTTCTGTACAACGTAAAATATGCGTACAATAACTTGTTCAATGTTTCGTTTTGAAGATTTACTTTTGCACGATACGATCTACCCGTGTAATGCAACAGGTACATCATGATAGCACACGGCTTGCTAGATTTTATAAATTTTCAAAATATAGGATAACGAATTTCTCTATTTTTAATGCATGTTTGAAAAAAATACGCTATTGTAATCGTTATGGCTGGTCTCGCTGGCTGGCTGGCTGTTCGGATGAGATCTCAGCAATTACAATAGCTAGAGACTTCAAATTTTCACTAAAAGCCCAGACCAGACCACCCGTTTCCATACTCTGTCTCTATCGGAGTTGAATAAATTTTGCATATCTCGAAAAACGTGTCATTTACACTATAGTATAGTACGATAGTATACAATTGTACACAAATTTTAAACAAAAATTTTAGTTAAAAAGCCTGTCAGCCTCATTACAGTCCTCTTTTATTGCAGCCATTTTGAGAATCAAAGGTCACATTAGGTCAATGGATGGAGTGGATGGAACACTAAAACGTGTACGAATTAAGCCGATATCGCCGATACATCAATAAAAGTGCAAAAGCGGTGACATTACATTTGATGTGGTACTGGCCAGTTTGAATTTCACGCAATTCGGTTCAGAAATGACCAATATGACAACAATTATCAAAGCCCTCGTGTGAGATCGAAGGGACTTCAGCGTAGGCATGCGCATTGCGCAGTGCTAACTTTTGTGGACGGATTTTTTTGATTAAATTGCTGAAAACGAATTTGACTGGAGTAACTAATTTTTTCGGACAATGACTGTTAATGTGGAAATGCGCTTTTTGTAAATCGTTTACGATTACTGTTTGAACTTGTTTGTTTCTGGCACACTTCAATTTAATCACTATCTTAATTGTGCTTCGAGTTGCAAGGGACCCACGAACTTTCCCCTAACCGAGTATCCTTTCGCTCAGGAACCCGCTTATAGAGGATTAAATTCTTATACCCATTATAAATGTAATTAACCAAACAAATCTATTTGGTCATCTGTATGGAACACCTCACGAATGGGCATAAAATAATTTTTAAAAATAAGTGTGAACCGCTGTCACTGGAGAGACAATACTGACAACTTGTCATTCTCGGAACATTCAAAATCAAGATTGCACTACGTGTAAGTGTAATAACGGCAACAGATGGTTTTTCTGTACTCATTTTAAGCGTTGAAAATAAATATATCACGAGATGAGGTGGAAATCTCCAAACACTTTAGAGCTAATGAATGAAAAAATATCACTCCTTGTGAATGAACCATTAATAAAAAAATGAATATTTATTGCACCAGGAAAACTCTTAAATAATCAATAATAATCTAAGAAAACCTTTGTGGCTACAGTTAGATCGTATTATTTGTTAGAGAAGCGGACAATTACCAAGTCTTATTGCACTCAGTTTTAAAATCCACTACGCAGTGATAATAGGTCAACACTGACGGTTCGTTAATTCCATAACGCACATAAAATTAAATTTAAGTCCCCCAATGTGGGATGAACATCCCAATTAGTAAATAAAACTGTGAACTTTATGTAACCCGCCATGAAATAGGGGAAGTCCGCCATCTACTCAAAATTTATAACGGATCCATTGAGAAAGATACAAGGAAGTTAGTGTTGTTCTACTCCTGCATAATAAAGAGCACAATTTTCTTACAAACTCAATTGCGTAACTTTCAGTTTTCAATTAATGTTTGCCTCTGCTTCATAAAACTTTCTAGATTGTTTATCTATGTAGTTTTGTCGCATTGTTTGACAAATTTAAGCTTCCCTTTAACTAGATGCATGTTAATTAAATTAAAATTGTCTGTTTGAACTGACGGAGAGTAATTCTACTTTCAATATTACGTACATTTTAATTTACTTATTTAAGTTGCTACAACTTTTAGTAGCTCATGCTGATTACTTGCCATTTTCAAACTTTCAGATATTCAGATTACGACACATAAAACCTCAATGTCGATTGAATAATTAATTACCTGTAAAAAGAGCATGCAACAGTGTTTTTCAATTTGATTTTTTCATAATTATACTGTCCCAGAGCTAAAAAGCACATGTTTGTGGATATTCCCTTTCTGGTAAATCATAATACATAGGTAATCTGGTCATGAATATCGAATTTCACCAAGATACAGTTTTTGAGGGGTCAAGGTTTGCGAAAAAAGCACAGCGCATATTTTTAAGTAACACATACTAAGATTATCGTAAAGCAAATATACACACAAAAATATGCACAATATGCATTGGAACCGTGGTACCCAGGTCAGAGGGGACCTTATACACCAAAAGCGTCTGTTGTGGACAGGAGCGCTGCTTATAAATTATGTATGTCCATAAATAAATAAATAACAATATGTCCCCCCCCCCTCCAAACAATGCAAATCTCTAATCTTTTTCCTAAACTTTTTCGATTCTAGCTTTCCTTTTTCTCCTCCTTTGACTACTCTTACCCACGGCTTCTCTATAAAAATCCCACACAGTAAAAAACGTTTTTTTGTTTCTACTGCACTATCATTGCAAAGTTCTAAACTGTTCAATTTTCTGTCAGAAAACGACAATGTCAGCTGCAGTTTCTACACATATCTTATCATTGACAATTTAATGATTGCATTAAGCGTTTTATGTGTAAAAACGTTTCAAATAAATAACACATGTTTAATAAATAGTAACATGGCCTATCGTAAAGAATGCATTTTACTTTTAATTTTTTTACACGTTTAGTGCGTAATAAACGCATCTTCAGGTTTCGACGACATATCACCACAAAACTTTAATGGAAAAATGGAATTATGTGCAATAAAATTTAGCCTGTTTAGAGTGCTTTATAACACCGATTACTCAAAGCGAAGTGGGTTTCAAAATAAGTGACGTCATCGCACAAAAACTTGCGACAATTACAACCCTATAATTCCTAAATTAATAAGTTTGGGCTTTTCGAGTTTTCTAAATTGTGAGTGTTCGTGTTTCTTTTTTTCATCCATTTCTTGGTTATTGATATCCTTGATATCCAACAACAAATTATAATTATTATGTACTTACTATTTATCAACAAGAAATTTGGCTCAATGTGCCCATTGTCCCGTGAAGTGAGTCAACAATTACTGAGTATATATGCATAACGCAACTAAATCATCTCTTCATAATTCAACTTTTTTCCAACCTGTTTCAAACACATTCATTACATGACGCAACTATATAAACCACTAATCAATTTATACACCGACACACACGTCAATAATAAAATTAAGCTCTTATTCAGTGAGATACATTGAATGTAGATATATGGATGAATAAATGCTTGATTGAACGACTTTACACCTGCTAAAATAGAATATTAAATACATTTCAATTGACATAAATTGTTTTTTCCCTCATTGTAGAGTAAAAATTGTCAGTTTTTCAAGTTGGCTATAAGTCACTTATTACTGGATTACCATTACGCGAATTTTAGACAATTACTCAATTAATCAATGTTGCGCATCGTTTTTTTCCTTATTTTGTGTATGTGCAATGTGCATGTTCGAAAAAAATTCCATTAGCTGATTGTGTAGGTACTTGCAATACTGTGCAATTTACGGTTTTTCAGTCATTTAGTAATACACTCTTGAAATGAAACATGAACATATCCTTGTGGTGGGATGATGTAATAGACTATGTTTACAAATTATTTGGTAATTGGTATATAGGTAAAACAAATATTTTACATACCTATACATTCTATGTATGTAAAACGAGGGGGAAATCACAGGAGATATGTGGATATCCTAGGTCCTAGGATGTACACAGATATCCGAGGATGTTCGTGGATATCAAAGCATGTCTGTGGTTATCCAAGGATGTGTGTGGCTAAACGAGGTAAATATGTCAGGTCTTAATTTATATTTATTGCAAGGAACCCACACCACAAACTGCGTCTACTGAGGAATCTAATCGTCTCAGATCTTTAAAATCTTTTTGAAATATGCTTTCCTGGCAAATTTTCTGGCATTATTCTTACTAGTTAATTGCATCCATGCGAAAGACGATAATGCATTTTCCTTCCTTAAATTTACTTCCTCTGGCTTCTCATATGTAGTATCTATTTAAGTTCTAATTCCTTTAAGTAGTAGTCCTCATTTATTATTGGTTTTATCGAACCACTACATATACCAACCGATAAACAGGGTGACCCATTTTCGACACATTTATAGGGTATTTCCGCAACTGTTAGTGTTATCAAGAAAGTGATATTGGTGTTATATGTTTTGTTTGGTTCAACCTTATAATGCTAAATTAAGATTTTGAAAATTGTTGCTCACTTAAGAGATACGAAAGAAAATTTTCCAAAGTTCCCAGCAACAATCATTTTAGCTCAAAATGCATTCTCTCATTTGACTTGATCAGACTAAATCTTTATTATTTACTCATTATTTTCGAATAATACGTTCGAGACATCGAGTCTGAGTACTTTGCACAAGATAACGATGTTTGAGAGATGAAATAGTAATATTGTTATTTATTTATTTATAGTATCATGGCACTGACCGCTTGCCTACAATTCCAAAGAATCCTACCACAAATTTTTAATTACTCTTCACGTACTCCTGGATCACACTAGAAAAATTTATGTTAAAACTCTTATGTTCAAGTTCGTAAAATTCGTTTTAAATACAAAGATGAACATTTACAAAATGAAATGCAATTCAATTTGACAATTGACAAAAACAAAGAATTAATAAGGCTGTAAAATATGAATGGTGCATAGGGCCAGGTACATACCACGCCATAAGCGTTCGATAAAATATACCAAATAAAATCTCAGTTACTTACAGTTTTTGAGTAATCCATTGATTCGGAGAGATTGTGAATTTCTTTACTAGGCACACAAAAAAATAAACAACGCAAGCACCAAATGTCGTTCTCTTTTAATTTAAATGGTAACCACGTAACCACATTTGATCTAAAAAAATTGAAATTAATAACATACAGGGTGACCCATCATACTATAGGTACTAAAACCAAATGAAAGCATTCGTATAACGTTATTTACAAAACAATATATTTTCAAATATCAAACATATCAGTGACAACGAAGCATTTGGAACTGGCTAGGTTCGTTATCTTTCCTTAATATTTCTAATATAAATGAAATTTTACAGTGGAACCATCACTTATGAAAATAAATTGTTAACGAATTATACATTGTGTTCATAAAGTAACTATGCAGTTGTCCATAAGATGATGGAGGTGCTGCAAGTACTACCTCTCAATCTGAATAAGATGCAGGTAGCTCGTTTCTCCAAGTATTATTCAGTACTTATCACCACACTCTGTATACGTAAACGTACAACGCATGACGTAGTTTTACACGATAGTTAAGCGTTTTCGATCGGTATAACTCGTGCTGCGCTAGTCAATTTTGTTTATCCACTGTCCAATAAAAATTGTCAATAGAGCATTAAACTGCACTTGTGCAATACAATAATACGAAAAGAAGTGTTATCAAAGAATTCTTTTGGGTAAATTGGTGGACAATCAATATGTAGTCATTGCGGAAGAGGTTAAATACGCAGCATTAAATTCGTCTAGCAATTCTCATTAATGTAAATTATTGGCATTATATAGCCACTGAGTAAGCCAAGAACATCAGGTAATCTACTTCTGCGAAAGCCACTAAATTTGCTATATAATAGACGTCACCACACGCGCGGTTAGTTAGTTGGTCGCGTTACATTCTCCACCCTCTCATCCAATAACATGCAAATGTATGTAAAACAGCCATCAAATTACATAACACTGAACCATGGGAACGATTTAACATCGCTCTATGCTGCAGTCGGATACTGGCCAGCTTAGCGTCGGATTAATCCCGTAAACTGATTTATATGACGTCGTCCCTTTTCAAATATTGTAATGCAAATATAATTTCACGATTTATTTATAAAAACGATTATCTAATGTTCTCTAGTGCCTCCTGATATACTGGATTATCCAACCAGCACGGATATGGTTGTACGAGAGGGATCCAACGTGAATCTACGCTGCGTTGCAAAGGGATCACCTGAACCAGTAATTGCGTGGCGCCGTGAGGGAGGAGAGACAATACGGCTTCTAACAGGAGAAGAAGGTAACGTTTGACAAAATTAATGTGCATGGCCATCATAAATACTAGAGAGCTTGTGACATTTGTGAGGAGATAACGAATTAATTAGTTAATCTAGATCTACTTTCAATTAACATTCAATATCGTCTACCAATTAGTTACACTGGTTACACATCAAATGTCACACGAATTCTGGTTCTAAACTTTCCACATAGTACACAGTGTAAGGTTCCATTTAATATAAATCTAAATTTAGACTGCCGTGTACGTAATTTGTTTTCAAAGGGTTATCGGTTAGATAAACTAAAAACTAATTAATACGAACCCCTACGGAACAGAATGAAATTCCAACATTTATAGATTTTCCAACTTTCTATCAGAGTTTGTACATATCTAATGTAGCAAGATTCACTGTAAAGTCTCCAAAAGTTTAGGCATAAATTAATTCCGCTAACCGCGTTAGAACTATTTGATCTAATTTGGTGACTAAATCATGCCAGCCTTTTTCGATTAATCCCCTTACGGGTTTTTTGTTGATTAAGATTCGAATATATCAGAAATTGCTTTTCTGTTTCATTAAAGGCAAAATTGACTTTATAAGATTTTCCATTCCTGTTTTGCATTATAATTTTATCTCAATTTCTTGTTCTGTTCACCTTAACAAGGAGAACGTTTATTGTATAACATATACCGTTAACCTCCTTCAAAGCGAATTTTCGTATTTATGATACAGGAAAATATTGTACACTTTACAGAAATAAGTGGTCTCGACTATAAAATGAAAATACGAATATATGCCCAGGAATTACAATATATTTTGTGAAATGAAACGTTAGAGCATCGTTATATATATATTTGAAACAGAAATGTAAAGTTTCCGTTTTTGGACTACAGCGGACTTCCTGGAAAGCTGCGCACGTTATTATTTAAACACAGTCTAGCAGTGCATCAAAAGTGGAAGATTTGATTACAATTGCAAGATGCGTTATTTAGTACGCGCAGTGTGTCCTTATCTTTCTAATTAATCATGCTAATTCTTGGCATCAATTTGAAATATTTTACGTATCTCGATTATGAGACTCCCTCGCGCTACTGCCACTTCAACTATCGTGTCAACATTACAACTTTGAAAAAGTCATTTACTCAGAAATTCAAATACCGATTTGAAAATGTCATCAAGTGGCTCACTTTAGTATTTGAATATAATTTTCCATGAGTTAGCTAAATGCGTTGTCATGTGGTTCTTTCTGAACCCAGGACCCATTAAATTAGCTCTTGCGTATACAAGGTGTAGCATCTAACACATCTCGGATCATAATTATTTTACCATAAAAAATACCGAAAAGGGTCTTAGAGCAAGATTGTACATTACCGTCGCCATGTTTATATAATATTTTTTATAACAAGGACCGTATCAAATTTGCGTTTTTTTGAACAGAATATTCCATATTTTATTGTAGGTATTTTATCGAAAAAAATAAATCTTTTAATTGTATTTCCTCTATGTCCTCACCAAAAGGTCATACTTTTTTATAATTTCAAAGGGCACTCCCCTAAACAAATAATAGCTCTGGATAGCCGAAACTACAAAATTTGAACTGATACAAACGAAAAAAACACATATTCGATGAGAAAATTTCAGAGAAAAAACAAGTTGAAACGCCAATTTGTAGAACAAGGCCAAGTCTGCCATTTTTTGAAAAATTAAAAAAATGTGGTTAACATGTTTACTAAAAAAGTGCACACTTGTTTTGGTCTAATTCATAGATGCCTGGGCGTGTAATGCTAGCTCCGTATTCGTATTTGGTTTATTTGTTTCATAAAATTATCTTTATAATTTCCCAATTAATTAAAACAAGATTTATGGTTTATTATAGCATTTTGTAAAACAAATTTCAATAGTAAAACTGTAGTGGTATTTATTTTTTTGACAGGAAAATTATTCCCATTTAAACGTGCATAATGCTACATTAATAACAATATTGTTAAGTACATATATTAATATTAATTATAATATTACGTATACGTATAACAATTTTTTAAACTATTGTAGCGTTGTTAGATAGTATGTGGCAAGCGAATGATTCGTGACTCCAGCAAAATTAGGCTTCAATGCATCTGAAAAGAAAGTCAAACGGTTTTCCCCTAACGCGAGTAACTTCAGCGCGTTTTCCATAAATGATCAGTACTTCCCAAGAGGCCATAGCTATGTGCGCTGTGATTTGCTTTACTAGAGGCATATATGGTTAAAATTTCAAAGAAATATCCCCGTAAACAAAAAAGTTGGCGTTTGCACTGACTGCGCATGTGCACATCTAATTTTTTTACTATATGCGATAGGTATATTTGCCTTCAACAGAAGTATCTGTGGTTAAAATTTCAACAAAATATATTAATAAATAAGGAAGTTGACATTGCGCAGTCTGCGCATGCGCAGTTTAATTGTCAAGATTTTCCTTGGCTCAGGTGCTAGAGCTATTATACGCTACCGAATGCAAAAAGAACGAACTTAATATCTTGAAAACTGAGTAGTTAAGGCCTCAGACAGACGGATAGTCGGACAGACTTAGTTGGAAAATGCGCTAAAAAAGCGAATACATCATAAGCATCTCATTTTTGTATTGCAAATCAGTATAAAGTATCGCTACCGAGCTATTACTGACGTTTTTCCGGCAGTCCGTCCGTCCGTATGAGGGCACCGGAGAGTCGTTGAATGCCCGTCGATGTCTCATTTCATAGATATAGCTTTTTTCTCTAATCACTGCCCAAATGGTCAAATTCAAATGAAGCTGACAATTAACTAATACCAACTCTAGTGTCGTTATTACACGTCAGCAAAGCTGTAAATACGTATTTATACAACCGTTGATGTAGGAACCATCTGATTGCATCTCTCAACTTATTTCAATATTATCAATTGTGTTGTTGTCGCGTTAATGGTAAGTCGCATAAATAATAATTTGTATTAATGACAGGCATAAATCGTTCAAGGGTGTCAAAGGGATCGGTTAAAAGAACAAAATGAATATCCAAATCGCAATAGAGAAAAAGAAAGTTTACCTACGGCAAATTATAAAAGTCTGCTAGGATGTAAAAAACAAATCATTCGATTAAATGGTACAGTTTCAATGCTTTATGCGGTCACTAACTATAGTCATCATGTCTAACGATTAGAATAATACCTAAAATTCCCAAGTATGTGGCATTCTGATTTAATTGTTGTTATACATAGAAATGTATAAGGTTATTCCATGCGGTCCAAACATAATTTCCAATTTAGATTGTACACCTATAAGATTTTAAATATGCCTATTAACCCAGCAGGTACTACAATATGCTTTTACACTATAAATACATTATAATGTCGGAAGCATAATATTTACCATGAGACAAGTTAAACAAAACCAAAATGCACTTATTTCGATTAAAAATGTAAAGCGGTAAATCTGTTCGTCAACATGTTGAATAATGACAAGACAATTCACGTGCATACGGGTATGTTTAATCGATTACAGCTCCACATTTATTGTACTGTGTAGCATACTGAATGAGCTACGGTTTATAATTTTATCGAAACAAACATCCCCTAGTTATAGGCAATCGATCCGTGTATTGAAGGTGTAAATGATGAAATTGTGTTATCTCATTTGAACATCGTATTAATAGCGAGTGAACAGTAATTTTAATACCGTATTTTCAGTGAGCAGCGTGGATGGACCCATTCTGAATATATCTCGGGTGAGCAGACAGCAAATGGGACCATACCTATGTATTGCATCTAACGGGGTTCCACCCTCGGTTAGTAAACGAATTATGGTTATCGTTCATTGTGAGTCATTTTATCAACGCTTATGGAATTAAATTTATTTATAAAAGCTGTTACAGTTTCACCAATGATCTGGATACAAAACCAGCTTGTCGGTGCCTATGAGGGTCAACAAATCATTCTTGAGTGTCACTCCGAAGCGTTTCCGAAGTCTATTAACTACTGGACCAGAGATAAGGGAGAAATTGTTCCTCAAAGTAAAATTTTATCTCGCACAATCGATATGATCATTCACTTTGTTTTCCGTTACAGGCGGAAAGTATGAGCCGATGACTTTAGAAAATTCGTATAAGGTGCACATGAAGTTGACAATACGATCCGTCAACGTGGCGGATTACGGGACTTACAAGTGCGTATCGAAAAATTCCTTAGGAGATACAGATGGAACGATTAAACTATATCGTAAGTTACCTTCTACATTAATTAATGTTAAATAGAAATTCCCTATAAACGAAGTTGTGTAGTTTGGGCTTTAACAGAACTTTTATAAAAGCTTTGACCGTTCAAACGAGCAATTTAATAAATCGCTTCGATGGTTCCTGCAAAATATTGAAGTAAATTACTCCTTTCTAAAGCATTTCATATCTAAAATGTACTTTTTTATACCTCCTTGAAGTTACACAATACAAAAGTATCCTTAGGTATATGCATTGTGCAATTTTTCAGTTCATTTTAAAATTCAAGAAGAGTTATCCTTGTGATGCGAGTATCAATTAAAACCCTGCTGTTGATTACCCCTTTGTACTGCAAGGACAATTAGTTATGAATTTAATGTTTGGAAAATAATATGAAATCTGTAAAGTATTCAACTTTCTAATTATAACTAAACAAAAACTTCAATTTCAAAAATTTCATGTCAATATTCTATAATTTTAATTTGTAGAACGAATTGTCTGCTATTTTACACCATCTGTATTAACTATTTATCTTTGTTAACTGCAAAGAACGGATCACACTGAAGTTTGAGCAGTCAGTGGAAGCAAGGATTAGGATAGTATTACGTTGTAAAAGTTTACACTCTATAATAAAGATAGTAGGTATCTCAACTGCTAAAGATTTCGCACTGTGACGTAAATTGTTATCTAATGATTTAGATATTATTTTTATATTTCGGAAGTATAGATTTCAAACGTTCTTTGGCGATCCTTGATTTTAAAAACATTACGTTGTCACACTTTCAGTCAAGTTGTTCTCTCAGAAATGCTTTTTAACATTCAACAAAATGTAACGGATTTACATTTTTTTATTTGAATGATATACTTCTACAATAACGTTATTTAATTAAATGTTTTATGTACCTACATTTTTACCTGTACACTTGGACAATATTACTTATCCGTAACGTTAACGGTTGAATGTTCTATGCCGATACCATGATGTTAAACTGCCCCTCTCTTAAGATTGTTGTATTTCGTAAAATCTACTTACTCCGCTTATGGTTTTGAACACGTTCGCACCAGGGTAAAGGTTGTGATATTAAAATTCATTACCCCTAAGTCAATTTAATGGACGTCCAATCCTACGAATCGCCAAAAAATTTCAGTACCACATAATATACACATATCTTCAACATTAGGATATATCTGTAATGGGGATCAGAAAAAATAAAATCCAAATCGGCAAATTTCGGATTTTCTAGCATATCTTCGGAAGTAATCGTAATTTTCTGTTTCCTTTTTTAAACCATGATAATAACTCTTGCGCATCTTTTTGACTTTCGTATCTTTTATGGTTTCGGAAATCCCCATGACAGACATCTTTGTCTTGGACACAGTGTATAGTATTTTTTCGAGACCATGGCTTTTATACAATCATGCGGTACGGCTCTTCGTTTAAAGATAGCATCTTCAGAATTAACCAATGATAACGAAACTGAGATCTAATGATAATAACTTGCACAATAACGCTTTCTGCATAGATTCAAACTAAAAGTACGATAAATTCATTCCTCGACGAGTTTTTTTTGCGGTGTTGCTTTTATATAAATAACTGTTCTTGAACAATTTGAAAGCACTCAGCAACTTGGTTAACGAAAAATTTTTTGTTTAAGTTAAATCGGACCGTCATTAATATGCCCCAGGTATTTCATTAATTGAAAATCGTAAGCCAGACGAAAAACTAACAGCAAACAATTTATTTTCTTTGGCCACGTACGTAATTTTGTTGTGATCCGAATGTCTCACCCTTAGTGCCGAAAAAAAATATGATCTTAGATTACGTACGACCTGGTGGTCCAACACCCAATACTGTTCCTCCTGGACTAATTCCTTCTACTAGTTTTGAGTTTTCTGGTGCTAATTAATTAACGGGACCATCTTTGAGCTTGAACTAATCGGATTGGTTCATTCCCACGAATCAACCGCATCCATCAATTAAACCCACAGCCGTTAAGTATTGCGCATTCAGTGCTTCCCATGGACCCGTATGATTCCGCGTCATCCTGACTTCGCTGTTTTGAGTACGTAACACCTATTAGGATAGCATTATCACCTGTTAACGCCCGTCCGACTGGCACCAGAAACTTACCCAAGCTATTAGCCGCCATGGCACCCCATAAAATTATAGATCACCATTCATCGAAATTGTTGACCCTTAGAACATTCAAACTCCCTACCAATACCTAGCAACGCAACTTACAAAAGATATTGTACCTATACATAAACCAAAATGCTAACGTACTTCGAGGAGTATTTAAACCTCTCTGAAAGAGTTTTTTCACGAGAAAAAAGTTTGAAACGGTATTAAAGGGCGCGTCGTACTTATGACACTCTAGTGGAGTACGTTATTAGCCATTGATCTTGATTTCGTTTCCCCATGCACTTTGGTTACACTTACCTTCGTAGCATGGTGTATAATAAAGACTACAACATGCTTTGTAGTAAGAGGGTACCAGTAACCCTCAAACTCACAGTTAATAGAGAATCATACGTCGCCAAACAGTGCAAAACAAATTAAGAATGGACCCAAAAAAGAGATTAAAATAGGGGAAACTTATATTACTTACCTAATGTGAAGTTTTATTTATTTAAACGTTATGCGGAACCAGTGTATCAACTTTAGACGAAATCGGCGAATGCATCCTCATGTTTGTTTTGATAATGATCTCAGGGTTAATAGATCGAAACATACGTAAGCAACATTAAACATCTTCCTCGAACTTTCCATAACTAAAATGAACTTGGGAAAGACAGACGCGTTGTTAAAACCTGACCTTTCCATCGCAGTCTGAAAGGTCTCTCAAGTACGAAGTTGCGTAGGTGTTATAAAAGCGATGCCTCAAAGGAATTTTTCGTTTCCTTTTAAAGAAGTGTTATTAATAATGTGTATTTCATATTTCCATTCCACTATTACAAATTGAGATACAATTATTGGTGGTGACGAGGTGTGACAAATGTTATGCGGGAAAATAACGTCCGGTTGTACAGAAAATTTATCCACCGTTCTTTGTTTTAAATGTTAAATCATAAGTGAATCTTATTCGAATAATGTGTTCACAAAATCTGAAATGCAAACAAGGCAGATAATACCAAAGACTGAGATAATCTTTGCCAATACGTAACAATTCTACCCTCACTAGACTCACGTGTGGGTCCTGAAAATGACGATTATATTGTCTTCACTGGTGGAATTCAAGAGCAGTTTGTAATAATGGCCCTCTATCTAAAATAGACGGTAAATATCTTTTCGTGTTCGTTACATATAAAAAATGTCAATTGGTTTTTTAAGATACATAATATATACGCACGGGTTATTCAGTAAGTTAGCTTTGCAAACTACAGTGAATTTTTTTAAAATGCGAACATAGGAGTTTGCATGTAATGTAATTTCCCTATGTTCGATTTAAAAAAAAACACATCAATCTATTGAGTAGTTCAAATGAGTAGTAGATACAATTGACAGCTGTCACATTTTTAAAAATACCGCCGTCCAATTTAATTACGAAATCGGTTAGGTTATTGCTTAGAATGTCAAGGAGGACCCTTCGAACATTTATTGTAATTGTTTTGGAATTTATTTTCTTATTTTCTTCATTTATGTATTGTATTGAATAGATCAAATTAGTAGAATACCAGGTGCACATGACCTACAAACAGAGCTGGGCACTATTCGATTTTGTAAATACTTTTTAGTATTCAAATACTTTGTAATTAAATACTTTTTTCTATTTCGGTGTCACAATGATGATTTTGTACAACTGTTTTCGGCCTAAAACAGTTGTACAAAGACAGTGATTATAGTCGTTTTTTTTGGGAACTCATCTCTTAAGTTGGCAGTTACTAGTTAGTACAGGTAGGTACTTCGTTGGGTACTTCCATGTTTGAACTACAAAATGTCAGTCTTACTACGCTACCAACCTAAAACTTAACGGCATAAAAAGTGTTCCCAACATAAAACATGTTAGTTCTAATGTTCCCTATAGTTTCTGATAATGATTTTTTTAATTAAAATTAAAGCACCGAAATAAAAAAAATAGTATGAAAAACGCGTGTTACAATGCTTTATTGTAATACTCCTATCTTGCGGACACTCGTGGCTACGCTTCGCGTCGCCACTCGTGCCACAAGATAGTCGTATTACAATAGGTCGCATTGTAACACTTGTCTTTCAATATACTATTATGTAACTCAAATACTTTCGAAAATATTTAGTATTCGAATACTTCACCAAGTATTGAAATACTTTTGCGAAGTATTCGAATACTTCGAACCTTTAAGTTATTCAAATATTTGAGAACTATTTAGAAATGTTTAGGGGAAGTTTCCATTATCACAAAATCAAATATAAAAATCCGATACAACTGAATACCGAACGATCCTGGAGTGAAACTTTTTGACCCGATAGTCTACGTAATTTAAAAACAATAGGAACCTTTCTTATATCCTTAAGACCATGTGTGCCAATTTTCAAAGCGATCGCACGTTCCTAAGAAGTTACCATGTACACGAACAGACGGACGGACAGAAAAGGATCTGTTTCAAAATCGCTAGGATTAATTTCAGAAAGGTGTACGTGTCAAGTGCACGTACGATCGCTTTGAAAACTGGTAGACGTGTTCTTAAGGATATAACTGATATAAGAAAGGTCCGGAGGGCCTGGTACCTGCTATATAACTAGAACTATTTTAAATTTTTAAAGTATTTGAGTGACAAGTATTTGAATACTTTTCAAAGTATCTGTATTTAGTATTTGCTTGTGCTGGGCGTGAAAGTATTTAGTATTCAAATACTTTCGATTTGTCTAAAGTATTTTCTATTTAGTATTCAAATACTTTTTGAAAGTATTCTGTCCAGCTCTGCCTACAAATAATTGAAGGTTGGTTCACAATGAGTTGTGGTCTCAGTGCGTGGCCTGTGAGGTCAAGTTTTCGTAAGTTTAAGAAAAATGTATCCTAAAGTTGCCAT